GATATGTATTCGTGACATCCTTAGTATCATGTGATATCTGTTGGCTGTTACCCGGTATCGGAGGTTCTTTTATGGAACTTAATCTATTAGCACTCTGTTACCCGTACCGGAGGCCCCGTCACAGGGGCTTAGCATATTTTTGTTCTATTCTGTTACCCAGATCCGGAGGTTCCTTTATGGAACTGGTTATTCGTAACCTCACGTGCATACGTTCTATTCTGTTCTGTTCTGTTCTGTTAATGCTAACGGATGTATCACGTATGCTTGTGCATGACTTATGATTTCTGTCTGTATATGATATGGACAAATTATGATTTTGATATGAAACTGAATTATGATTTCTGAATCTTTTCGGACTCATTCATTGAAATCTCTTTACTCTGTTATTGTTCACTAGGCTTTCGCTCACAGTTTATATTATATATGTAGGTGAGCCGGCGTGTGACCAGGGCCAGAGTTGACGGCCATTGTTTTTATTTTTGTCAGCCAACCGTTATGCCTCCCGAGGAGGTCCCGATTGAAGTCTATTTCCATGGCTATTTTTGTGCTTATGCTAGTCTTTGTGACTACTTTGTAAAGTCAGGTCTTGGGAAGTTCACTTTTGTAAATATTTTATAAATATTGGTGTCCTTGACTGGCATGCTTATGTATATATACAAGTTTTGAAATGTGATGTCCCATGTATGTTATCACAGCTCATTGGACCTTGTCTATTTTGTATAATTGCTTCTGCAGCCCCTTACTATTTGCTAATCTGTTCAGAGGCCTTCGATAATCCACAGATTACTGGCCGGTTATGATACTATACCTACAGGGACGGGTTTGGGTCGTGACACAGCTACAGTTGTAGCAAATCCACTTGCTCCTATCACAGGGACGAGGGTACCCAATGTATATGTCACCTAAACTCGCGGCAATAACTAGAGCAACTAACCCTGTTGCATTTCTTGTCAGCATGACAAAGAAAACTTCACATAAGTACAAAAACAAACGACTCAGGGACAAAAATATTTCTTGAGGTATTAAGAAATGATCAAGAAATTTTAAAACATAAATACAGCACCTACTTGGGACTTGCATGATTATGGTAAAGGATTTCTATATATGAGGTTTAGGTTTGTATAGGTTTTATCCATTACTATTGTAAGTTCCAAAATAAAGGGTCCAAGTCAAATTAGAGTCTATATTATTTACAAGTTAAAAAAAAAACTTTCAATCCATTATAGAATAAATTTAGGTAAGTTTTAGTAGCTTTAAGCGCTTTTTAGGACAATGTGACGTAATTCTACCTGAGTACTTAGTAGCAAATACATAAGATAAGAAACTATAGGAATAATTTCTAAACTAATCTTTTTCTTCTTTAATTTTTAACTAGTATCTAATTCAATCACAAGCTATTACTAAAGAATAGGGGCACTTTTATAAAATATGGAATTGAGCACAAATCAAATTTCAGTATCTCATTCATTTTAGTTTCAAGTTAGCCATCCCATGTGATGATAGTTGTCAGTGAAAACCTTAAATACCCATATGATGGTAATTGTTAGAGAAAACCTTGAACACTAGCCCTTTTTTTAATCACATTAAATTCATCAACTGTTATTTGCTACCACAGTCCTTAGAATTCTAGCATAAGCAGCAAGACAAAAGTAAAATACCACGCTCATTTTATAGAAAAATTTCTATCCTCCAGTGAAAGAAAAGACACTTTATACAAAATCAATTGTTTGGTTTCATAATTTTTTTCCTTTTTAGTGGCATGTAGAGAAGGAGGTGAAAATGATGTCTGAACTCCTAGACAACCAAAACCCAAGCAAAGAAACTATCATGCAAGTATTCTTACATGAAAAAAAAAAAAAAAAAAGCATTCAAAAGGCCTGTGCATAAATAGCCAAGATTAAATTATATTAACCATTCCACTTAAAAGGTCAAGCCAATCTGATATTAGTCATGCATGTCAAAAGAAAAAAAATAAACAGGAGAACTCGAAAAAACTGATATTAGTCATTTATTATTTATTAAAGTTGCTTGACAGATAAAATTGCTTCATAAAAAAAAATTAAAAGAGAGGGAGAGAGAGAAAGGGAGGGAGACAATAAAAGGAATGATAGTGCAATTGTTCTTGAAGGCATAACAAGCATTGGATGCCAATAATGTTTTGTATCACCAGAAGGCCAAACCCAATGATGTGTAAGTAATATAATTGGTTAATAATTAGAGAAAATATGAGATAAAGTGTTACATTTAATACCCTAATTAATTGCCACACAATTGAACTTAACAAGTGAATCCAATTTTTTTTATCTTGAATAGCAATGCTTAAAATTTAAATATATATTGTCAATGGATTTGTGTTTGTACCTTAGATATAAATCACATTAATAATTCATTCAACACACGGCACCTGTTGGTCTTTGACATGTAGCCATTTGTAAAAGAGAAAGATTAAGGCCTTGCCCAAGAGTACGAAGTCATTACCATATGTCCCAAGATAGAGGTATTTGTTGCCAAATACTCTACCAATCCTAGCTTCCCATCTTCCATTATGATGATGTCTGCTTATTGACATAAAAATATAATAAGTAAAAAAGAACAACACATTTGCCATCTTGAATTTGTGATAAGAAGATAGGCAACTTGAGCTACATATGGATTACAATAGTGGCAAAAATGCCAAAATTTAAATTATAAATAAATTAACATTAAATCGACAATAAATCCGTTACTTGCATCTCCAAGTCAATAATTAAAATTTGTGTTCATAAAATTTGAAGAAACATTAAAAAGAAACAAGTTGCGTGTTGAATCATATCATGCATTTGATTAGGAGACTTATAGTATTATTGGAAAATAACAGGTTTAGCTTTCTGTTGATAACAACCACATAAAAAAAAATAAAAAAATAAAAAGGAAAATTATCAAAGAACTGTTTTTTTAATGACAGACAAATAAACAAGTAATTAACAGATAATATGCAATTGTTTTTGTTACCTTGCAACTCCTCTATATTTTGATACTCCTCGAGAAAAACCACTGCTTTTCCTACAGGATCAACACAAAAATTTACCTTAATACAAAATATATAGCTTATTAATTTTCTTTACTATAGCTTTTCATTAGTAATGAAGTTTACCTTCTCAGTGATCTTGAAATAATAATTGGAGAAAGTGAGAGAAGATAGAGATGAGCGAATAGAGAGAGAGAGAGAGAGGCACAATTGTTTCTATAAATTGTATATATCAATTACACAAAGAAGGCACTCTATTTATAGAGGATGCCTTGGATGCCTTGGATGATTGCCCACCGAAAGGTGCTACACTATGAACAATTAAATAATGATACACTAACATAATGCTACACTATGAACAATTAAATAATGATACACTAACATAATGCTACACTATGAACAATTAAATAATGATACACTAACATAATGCTACACTATGAACAATTAAATAATGATACACTAACATAATGCTACACTATGAACAATTAAATAATGATACACTAACATAATGCTACACTATGAACAATTAAATAATGATACACTAACATAATGCTACACTACACTAACAAACTCAATGATGATACACTAATATACACTAACAGCCCCCCGCAAACTCAAGGAGGGAAAGCATCAACCAAGTTGAGTTTGGAAACAAGAGCATTGAAGCGGCCAGGAGGATGAGCCTTAGTGAAGATATCAGCGGGTTGATCGACGGAAGCGATAGGGAGAAGACGAACAGTACCACAGGTAACATGCTGGCGAATGAAATGACAATCAATCTCAATATGTTTGGTGCGATCATGAAAAACATCATTGTGAGCAATCTGAATGGCACTCTGATTGTCACAATAGAGAGGGGTAGGATCAGAAGAAGAAACACCCATATCAGCAAGGAGCCAGCGAAGCCAGAGAAGTTCCTGAGTAGTATCAGCAAGAGCTCGGTATTCAGCTTCGGTGCTAGAGCGGGCAGTGAGGGATTGTTTTTTGCTACGCCAAGCAAGAAGAGAATCCCCTAAGAAGAAACAGAATCCCGTGGTGGAGCGTCGATCCGTAGGATCCCCAGCCCAATCAGCATCGGAAAAGGCACGCAGTTCAAGAGAGGAGGAAGCAGAGAAGTGAAGACCATGGAACAGAGTGCCTTTGAGGTAGCGAAGAATGCGGAGTAGAGCAGTATAGTGGGGAGTGCGAGGAGCCGACATGTACTGACTGACAATGTGAACAGCATAAGCAATGTCAGGACGAGTTACTGTGAGATAGACAAGGCTGCCGACGAGTTGGCGATAAAGAGTAGCATCAGAGAGAAGAGTCCCATCAAGAGGAGTGAGACGAATCTGAGGATCAACCGGAGTAGAGGCAGTTTTGCAATCAGTAAGACCAGCACGAGCCAGAAAATCGGATGCATATTTGGCCTGGGACAAATAAGAACCAGTAGAATCATGAGAGACTTCAACGCCTAAGAAGTAGTTAAGAGTACCAAGGTCCTTCATCGCAAATTGTCGGTGGAGAAACTGTTTGAGGTGGAGAATACCAGCTGCATCATTACCAGTGATAATCATATCATCCACATACAGAAGAAGAAGAGTAGTACCATGAGAAGTAGTCCGGATAAAAAGAGCAGAGTCATAGGAGCTAGAGGTGAACCCAAAATCATGAATGGTAGAACTGAACGTAGCAAACCAAGCACGAGGTGCTTGCTTGAGGCCATAGAGAGCACGCTGTAGTTTGCAAACCTGATGAGGGGGAAAAGTGGACCCAGGTGGAGGTTGCATGTAGACCTCCTCAAGAAGATGACCATTGAGGAAAGCATTTTTGACATCCATCTGAAAGAGCCCCCAGTGGCGAGCAGCAGCAACAGCAAGTAAACTGCGAACAGAGGTTAGCCGAGCAACAGGAGAGAATGTCTCTTTACGGTTTAAAATTTAATGTTTATGATTTTGTTTTACTCAAATTTGATTGATGAGAAAACGAGGAAACATATAAATACATAAACCAGGTTTTTTACTACTACGGTGTTTTTTTATTTTTTATTTTTTCCCCTTTATACAGAAAATGCTATCTATCCAGAAACGTTCTAAGAATTTGAATGGATGAGTTAGATTTGAACTTGTGTGATGTAGATTACAAACTTGAGGAATTTATAATCCACGCATTTCAATTTCTGACTACTTTTCTGAATAAATATCTCCATTGCTAAATGTCAAATTGCATTTAAATGAGCCCATTCACTTTCCATGTAGCATGCTAATGTAGAAACTGAATATTGAATGGAGCCATTTGCAAAAAATCACATTCATCTCAGGAAATGATGTTTAAAAACTAACAGTCACAATGACCCATCTGTCTGTTCTTGATTGCAGGAATTGATTACTTATCTGTTGCTGCCTATAATGATCTGATTCCTTCTCATCTTGTTTTTCTAGAAGGCAGGGTAAGATAATATATCTCCAATGTGTTGGAATTTTTGTGTTTCACTTTCAGCAACTCTATTGCTCATCCTGCCTTGAAATATTTCTTCTAGTTGCTTCTGTCAATATTATATCCATCGGGGAGAATTTTATTACTTTTCCTAAACCTGGCATTCACCTTCCTTTATAATGAAGTTTATTTCTTGACTTAAATTGTGCAGTCCGGATTTCATCACTTGTAGATTAGAGAAGTTCTAGCAAGATATCTTGTATCGATGATATTTTTGGGCATTATTCTTTGGCTATGATTTAAGGATAATGGTTATGTGCTAGTTTCTGATTCAAGTTTAAAAGGGTGTTTCTTACTGACATGAGATCAGTTCATTGGGCAATATTTGCTTATGTGATGATTATGTTGGCATTGTGAATTGTGAGAGTTGCAATGCTTATTAATTTGTATAAACTCAATGTAGAATCTTTTTGTTGAAGAAAATGGTCCATTTTTCTTCCAGTTACTAGTAGAAATAAGTGTCTATTCTAGGATGATGTTTTCTGTCAATAAAATGGCATCACATTATTATCATTATTTGGGTTCTCCTTTCTGTTTTTTGAATTGTTCAGTATCATGAAATGTTCATTGTAAAAATAAAGATTTACAATCGTTTGAATACTTGATCTCCTATAACTTATGTGGTTAGGCGTAAACAATTTAGTGTGTTTGTCCTACTTTGTGTTTTCATGTCGAGGGTAGATTTAGAAACTTGTAAAATTAGCACATTTACTATCTTATTTTAGTGAAGGGCCTTAATACTTCTCAACAAAATAATCTGAAATGAATATATAAATTAGATTAGGGATTCAAATTTTGGGAAAGAGATCAAGAGACATGGCAAATATTTGGAAATACAATGACTTGGAGAATTAGTGAACCGTAATTTTTTTTCCGTAACTCTGTATCCAGCCCACTGATTAATTTGGGGGATCATTTTCACCGTCCAGTGGGGGATGTGTTTGAACGTTGTGGAAAGTGATGTGGTTGGTGAGAAAGAAAATATCAAATAATTCTTGGGAAGAATCTATGCTATTATGTTTACAGTATCTTGTTGCAAGATTTTTTTTGGAGTAAAATGTGATCTTAAATGAATGCAAATTTTATAATTGGGGTCATTCGTGTCAAATGATTGAATGCTTATAAAGATGTAGTTGTTATGTATTTTGTTTTGGAATAATTTCACTTTGATTTTTTTTCAATTATGGGTATTTTTTTTGGTTATTATATTAATAATTTTATATCTATTTGAGTTTTTAATTTCAACCAATATGGGCCAATTCAAGATTCAGCTAATATGAAATTTGAGACGGTTGTCCAAATCTATAATCCTTAAAAGTCCAACTTGATGTTTTCTGTCTCACATAATAAAATGGCATCACATGGAGATGATTTTATTATCATTATTTCAGTTCTCCTTTTCTTTTGTTTCTTTGTTTCTTGTTTGCTGATGACTTGGTTAAAAGTTTCTTTTGTTTCTTGTTGGGATTAGATGATCGACTGCTGATATATCTTATCAGCTCTACTATATGAGAAGCAATTTTTGGTTAATGTTGTTTGGATATAAGAAAATTTGTAATTTTCATTTTAATGGAGAAGAGTAGCAACAGTTTTGACGCCATTTCAAATGCTTTAGGAAATCATTCTGGTGGAAGGCCTGAAACTCAAAGATATTCAACTAGGAATATATAGTGTCCATTGCTTACCTCTAAGGTTGCTTGGCGCTGAGGGCTCGCCTATCAGATGCATCCTTATCAAATGACATCGTCCTTGTAATTAGTGTTTTTATTTTTTGAGCCATTGTGATGCTTGAAGTTCTTAATTATTTGAAATTGTTTAGCATGATGTTTTATATTCACGGTCCGTTTGTTTTGGCATAAAATATTTTTTGAAAATAGTTTTTTTTCTCATTTTCTAGTGGGTAATTGGTACATCAATGAAAAACAAGTTTATTTGGGGTGGAAAATTTTTTCACTTTTAGAAGGTGGAAAACATTTTTCGAATTAAAGTTTTGTCAATGCTATCACACTACCACACCGGCACCACCAGTTCCCACGCCCTACCACCACTAATAGTTTTGGGGTCCCGTGGCCTCTAATATTTTCATACATAATTGGGCAAATGTAATGAGAGATGAACATATGAGAAACAATAGACACTTCTCGCCCTCCTCAACCAATGCTGTGTTTGGTTGAGGGATTTGAGAAGGATTTAGAAAAGGAAAGGAAAAAAAAGTATGAAATTATGTGAAATATATGTATATTTTATTCATATTTCTCCTGCCTTTTCATTTTTTCTTTTCAAATCTTTTTTCAAGAAATTCGAAAAACAAATTGAGTGGGGTGCGCCTTTAAGTGAAGAACATGAAAGGCATGCATATGGTGGCGGCATTTGTTTTTGTTGATGGTGGTGTTGTTTTGGGAGAGAAAGAAGTAATTTAAATCCCTTTTTTGGTTGTAGTTATCTGGCAGACAAAATCTATAAAAGTCCGGTTATTATACACAACTATCTTAAAGAACTTAAACCATTCTATGTACGCCTCAGTAGTAGGATAAGATGGTGGTAGAGTTGATCTTAACAGAATTTGAAGTTTTTTTTTGTGATATATCTTAACAGAATTTGAAGTTGACCTTCAGTTTCCTTCTTTTGGAATATTAGGTAGAGGCTTTGAAATGTGCATTACCACTTGCAGCCTTGGTAAGAATATGGAGAAATGAAGGTGTTACTGATGATAATAGGTCATTTGTTTTTGCATCTCAATCCCCCACCCCCCCCATTTGTGTGTGTATGTGTGAGTGTGTTTTTCTGCCCCTCAATTTTTTTATTTTTTGCCTCATGGGCAATAGTGGCTTTGGTCTTATTGGTTTCTAAAACATGACTTTTTCTTGCAGTATTACATTTTTGCTTATGTTGATGTTCCGGGGTATCAAATATTGAAGAACCTGAATATTATCAGTACTGGTGTTTTATACCGAATCATTCTTAAGAAGAAGTAAGTCCTTCTGCCATTTAATAAGAATTATATCCAAATTTGAAGGCACCAACCAATTTAGTTCATCATGGGTAGGACACTATTTCTGACATAATATAATCTCTATTGAAATGTTGACTCTAAAAGAAATGGAACGGTTTGAATAGAATCTACTAACATCACAAAAACTTGCTTAAACTACTTTTACAACAGCTTTATCTAAATGTTAGGAAATTATGGTTTTCATACAAAAGAGAGAAGGGAAAAATTGAACAAGAACAATTTCTTTTTCATTTTTATTAGGTTTCCATGTTGACATTATTTTTTGTGATCATGACTAACATGAATGAAAGCATCCACAAGCTGGGCTGTTTATCCACCAATGAGGAGTAAACTCAGCTACTAATGTTAACCTGAGTAATTGCAAAGAACATAGTATTAAATCCTCAAGGTTTATTTGAGAAGAAACACCAAATGAAAAGGCCACTGAGACACTTATTAGATATTGGGTTCTCTTTCAGGTTAAGCGAGATTCAATGGGCTGCTTTCATTCTATTATGTGCAGGGTGCACCACAGCACAACTTAATTCTTCATAAGAGTGATCCATGATATGCAGGTCCTGGCTCATAACCAAGTGATGAATGAAAATCTTTGAATTACTGATGTTCTGCTTATACCTAAACGTATTTCTTAATGACTTTGAATTATATATCAGTTTCTTTATTCATGTTACCATGGTTGAGAGCCTTGTCCATTTACATGCAAGCCCTGGCTCGTAACCATTTACACCCTATCTCATTTATCCTTTCTGAACAGAGCCTTGTCCCAACTGTTTAGAATTGGCTATCTGACTGTACATTTCTAGGGCCACATGTTTTATTAAGTCCTAAGTCAAGATTAACTTGTATCAATTTCACTATCCTCACTATCACTACCCTCTGTCCTGGTAACAACTGAAGTTAATAACATTGATTTGTCTTGCTGCAACTACTCATTGTCTTTGTGCACCTGCTGCCAGATGAATTTACTTAATTTCATTGATGTTAAAAATTGCATGTATGCTACACTATTTCTCAAGTTACGATATGATCTTATCTGGTGAATTGATAAGTTTCAACTTAATTTCTTTTTGTCAATGCTCTTATTGACAACCCAGCTTTTGATTCTCAAACCAAAGAGGCTTTGACAATTCGCCAAAGCAGTTTTGGGTCAAAATGTGAACTTTCACAGGAGTTCCTGAAGAAAGGTTTGTTCAGAGCATCAAGCAGATTCTTGGACTTCAGCATGGAAAATAGTATGACAGTGTGAAGACTTTGAGATATGGTCATTTGATGATTATGACTGATCAGGTTTAAAACATTTAACTTCTTGCTTTGTTTTTTCTTTTGGTGTTATCTATATGTTGATTCATTACTGAGTGTGGATGCATTTTAGTTTGTTTGCTGATGACTTGGTTAAAAGTTTCAATTTTTATGCATTCACAGGACCATGATGGATCACATATTAAAGGGCTGTTTGCCAAAAGTTTCAATTACTTGTAGTGTTAACACCCAGATTGGATGTCTCTCTCTCTTTCCTTTCTCTCCATCAGCATCAATTTTCTTCTTATGAACGAAGATCAATCGAAAACGACGACATCGATTGCCTCCTTCTCGTCCATTCCGATCTCTCCTCTCTCATTCACCAGGTAACTAATTCGTACTTCTAGAGAGAAATGAGATAGCAATTTCATATTTGATCGAACAATGGTTTGGAGGAAATTAATTCATTGAACTGTATCATTCTCTCTCTCCTTCAATTTTGTCACAAACTGCATATATATATATATATATATATCTGCTACGTGATCAGAAGGAAAACTACAGATGATTAATCCGTATATATATTTGCCAAACATCTCTTTTCTTTGTGAAAAATCAGCCTTTTCGATTTCAAAATCACAAAAGCAAGCCTTTTTTCCCTCATAATCTTTCTTCTCCTTTTCATAGTCCATGGCTTGATACTGTATTTGTGAGCTTTGGTGAAAAATGGGTCATTCCATTTGTGGGTTTTGCATTTTATAGGTTTGTGGTTCACACATTGGTAATGTTGGGTTCTCGCTGATTTTGGGTTCTTTTTTATTAATGGGTTTTGCAGTGAAGGGATTGATTTCAAATGGGTATTTCTTGAATTTCTGATATCTATCCTTAGCTTGGTCTGATGTGTTGTTGTGGTCGTTGTTGTTTATGATATGAGTCCGATTCTTTGGAGATTAAAGGAGCTGTGTATTTGGGGCTCTGGCTAGCATTTTATGTTTCTAGCATTGGAGCTCTGATTCATTCGTTGTTTTTTAAATATGTCTTTTTGGTTGACAATTTGTGTCAGGGTTTGAGGGTTCTGCAATGCCTCACAGAATTGGAGGGATTTTCGCATTATATAAGGCTGATTTGAACTCATGATGCCCAAGTCACTAGAGAGCAACCATATCGCTACTCCATGAATAAGCAACTTGTACTATAACAAGGTTCTTGGTAAATCATACTAAAGGAATGGGTTACCAAAGACTAAATCTCATACTAAAATGCAAGAGTTTACACATGAATGTCTCTACTCAATGAACTTGACAGTTGTCCACTATAGGTTGCTAACATAAATGACTAAACTGACAAGCATTGTTTATCCAATTTATTTGTCTTATTCCCAGACTTACACCAGCTTTAGTGCATCAATGAACCAAGTCTAGGTATATTAATGGACAATGGTAATGAGAACTGCAATGAGGAAGTAGGTACTAAATTCAATAATGACAATTGCTAAAATTAAGCAGGTAGATCATCAATATAGCAATTAGCAATTAGTCTATATAGCAATTGTTGATAAGCAGGCATATGCCTCGGGAAGGGTAGCCAGGGTAATAAGGCTCCCATAGCTCTGTTCACCCTGATAATTTCATTTTGTGGTTATTATTGTCTGCTTTAGCATATTACATTAGTTGGAAAGGGACTCTTTAGCATTCAAAATCATTTTATTTGTCATGACGTAAAGGGACTCTTTGGCATCCAAAATCATTTTATTTGTCATGACGTAAAGGCACTCTTTGGCATCCAAAATCATTTTATTTGTCATGACGTACTATAAATATTCATTCACTTCACACAGTTTTTAGTCTTTATTGTCTTTCATGTTGCAAAGAGTATTATGTATATAGACACAAGTGGTCAGTGATATGTAGATTGTAAATGACCAAGTTTGACAAAATATCCAATTAATTTTGCAATTTTCTTGTTTACTGGTTGCCCTTGTGGTTGTTGCTTGAATTGTTATATGCTTAAGATGATGAGTGTGACTAAAGCCAAATAGGTAATAATTACTACACTTTTTTTTTTTGGTTTTTGATATATGAAATTACAGATTGTGAGAATAGAGTCTGTGCATTCTAAAGGATTTTTGCATCGAGACATCAAACCGGATAACTTCTTCATGGGTCTTGGCAGAAAAGCAAATCAGGTAATGGCCATTGCTGTATACTCTTCTTTGACATCTAGTTGTGATTCCTTCATTTTAGATATATTATCGTCATAATCTCAATCTTGTCATGTTGACTAGGTATATATTATTGATTTTGGATTAGCAAAAAGATATCGTGACCTTACCACAAGCCGCCATATTCCTTACAGGTATACTTCTGATAACCAAGTTCATGCTTAAATTTCATGGTTCTTTGGTGTTCTATCCTTTTTGTTTTGGACATTGTATGTTGTTTATTTGTTTAGTTGTCTATGTTCCATGCAATCTATTTTTGTTTAAATACTTGGGTCAGAGGTTCCATAAATTGTTTATTCTTAATTTTTATATTGGCTCACTTATTTCAAAGATATCCTTGTACCTGCTGCTTATGCATTAGGGACTGGTAACTCTTGCTTCGTTTGGGATAAATCTGCCTCCTTCCCCTGTTTTCTTTTATAAATAATGGATGTTTTAAGAGTGAACATCTTTCTTAGTAGAGCAATCTGGAAAAAGAATAAGTATGGTGATTTCTCCACATTTTTGACTAGGAATAGTGACCATCACAAGAATCTATATATACATATATATACCCACCACAAACAGACGGATATTTTGTTATGCCAATATATCTGAAACGACAGATAGCTGACACAAGAGCACTGTTTAACTCTCTATCTCTTTGTTCTTTCCTCCCATTATATGTGTAAGAGTTCCTGATGCATCTTTCCTTCCATTATATGTGTAAGAGTTCCTGATGCATCTTTCCTTCCATTATATGTGTAAGAGTTCCTGATGCATCTTTCCTTCCATTATATGTGTAAGAGTTCCTGATGCATCTTTCCTTCCATTATATGTGTAAGAGTTCCTGATGCATCTTTCCTTCCATTATATGTGTAAGAGTTCCTGATGCATGCTTGGCTTATGTTCACAACTGAAAATATGGGCCCATTGTTCATTGCCTTTTGCATTAAACCTGAATTTGTTGCTTGCTTGCTTTTTAGAATCCTTGTCCACGTTGCTGTAGGATAATAATTTTAAGTTCTAAAATTAAGAAAAATGACAAATTGCCTATTTAGGCTTTTATGTTGGAGACATTGACAATATGAATTGAACAACTGCTTTTGTCTAGTTACTCAAGGTAAATATGAACCAAATTGTGTGCTCTACGTCCTTGATACTTAAGTTGTGATTGCTTCCATTGAAAGTGCGTACCTGTTTTTAGGTCAGTAACTCAGTTTTTCAAAGAATCCTGCTATAGTGTCAAAATTGTGAACAATTGTAATAATCAGTCAATGAAATGACTAAGCCTTTAATATTCACAGCCTGACTAACACTATATTTTGTCTAGTTAGTCTTAATGTTTTGAGCCTTCGTAAAAACTTGCCAAATTATTGTATCTGGAGGAGGTTGCTCTGTTGGCTCAGCAACTCTCCACCTGGGTATGACATGAACACTCTGGCTTGGCATGTTTTCCTCACTAAAATCCCCCTTATGCTTCTTGGACATCAACTTACTTTTATTTTAACTCATGGTACAAAAATAAGTAACATGGTAAGTTGGCTGGCTTCAGTGGAGAAGTGTTGACTGGGCATATATTAGTTTGAATGTGTCTTTGTTGTATGATTCACTTGTTCTACCTAGTCTGGCAGGCTTTGACTTCGATTATGTATTTGACTGGACCATTCTAAAGTACCAGAATACACAGAGAAGTTGGGGAAAGTGGATCAAAAGTTCACGAACCAGACGAGCGCCCTCCCCAACATATTTCTTAACAAGTTCACGAAGCTAAAGTGTACAAGACTACTTGGCAGTATAAGCATTTTTTGGAGGATTAAATATTTTTGGATGGATGTGTATGGATAACAAATATTAGTAGTTTTATTTGTTGATAGCTGGGCATGGATAACAAATAGTTATGTTTCAAATTGTTGTGCTAGATAGATATGACTTGTGAATGAAAACTTAGAATAGTTGTATTGTGCTGAATGTTAATGAATTATGTATTGTGTCGAATGTTAATGATTCAGTTAATTTGAATGATGCTTTAAAATTATAGGTTTATTATGGATTGAATCTATCTATATATTGTTTGAAAATAATAATAATAATAATAAGTGTGGTCATTATCTATTTGGCTTGATTAAAATATATATATATATATATATTTAGGCTCTTATTTATTCTCTTACTTTTGTCATTGTTTATCTTATTATCTTATATATAATAGTTAATGATTGATTTTTTTGTAGAATAGCTAGAAAACATAACACATATAATTATATATTAATACATATTTTATACATGTCAATTTCTTTTGATTAGTTTATTTTATTTTTATTTACAGGTTATCCAAAAAGTGAATGAAGATTCAAGTGATCCAAACCTAAAAAAAATAAATAAATAAAATAAAATAATTCTTTATAATTTATTTTTAAATTTTTATATGATTACATTAGCATGTATAATTTATTTTTTAAAACTATTCAAGTTAAAATTTAGATATACTTCCACAAGTATAATAATTAAAAAAATAATTTTATACATCTAAGTCCAATAATAAAAAAAAAAATTTGTTACAAGCATAATATGGATTTATGATATATGAAGTCATTAATTATTAAAATAAAATATAAAAAACTCAGTTTATAGTGATTTAAAAATATGAAATATATTGGATCATACTTAAAAATTTATAAAAATTGATCAATATTTATTTTAAAACCCAATGAATATGATTATGGAAAAAAATGTGTATCGGTAAGTTTTGTGAAAAATAAAAAAATCCACGGTTCCAGTTACCGCAACTGTTACGCTATGGCCTTTACACCCCGCAACCACAACCGCAACCGCAACCTCGCCACCGCCACTGTTACGGCGACCGCAACCGCTTTTCAAAACCTTGCGTGTAATCGTATTTTGATACTATGCATAACAATAGCTTGAGAAGAATCAAGTCAGGATATTAAGAAATGATAAATATTAAAACAAAAACAAACATTGCAAATAGACAGAAATTCACTGTATAGGTCTTCATAAGTACTGCAATTACAGTTGAAGTAGTGAGAAACCCATTTTTATTCCATGAACTATATGGAGTTAACATCAAATAGAAAAGTAGTAGAGCCAACAGTTTCTTGAGTGTAACTGCAGAATAGGCAATTTTCTCTAGGTGTGGGAGTGCCCTTTGAATTAGGGGCTACCCCTTTTAAGCTTAAGTTGAATTCGAGAGCCAAGCAGCACATGGTAATACAAGAAGCAGAAATGAAGTAATATGGTATGTCATAAATTACCTGTAACCGGAATACAAATGACAGCTCACTTTGTTTGAGGTGGTCCTGTAAAACTAGCAGCAAGTTAACTAAGATCATTGTCTCACAATCAAATGATATGAATGAACTAAAATGGTAATTGAATTGACTTGGCAGTCATAAGAGTTGCACACTGGAGGAGGCTAATGCAGAAAATTGAACAAAGGAATGACTTCATCTTGAAATGGCAGAAATAGTAAAGATAAGAAATAGCAGAAATAGTAGTCACACACAAAATCAAATTGAAATAAAGAAAATAGAAGAGAAACATACTAAAGCATAACAAATAGTTAAGAAGGTAAGATAAAGTAAACATTAGCTTTTATCTGCTCACTTCACTAGATGATGAAGGTGACGATGAGGATGATAACAAGAATGTCTAATAATATGATTGGGGAAGCTTTAGGATACCTGCCCAAGAAGTATTTCATTCAACTCGCTCATTGAAGAAGTTTTTTCAATAGCATGAACCTGAAATCACATGAACCAACATTTAAAACTCTAAAAATCACTTCCATATTGAATGATGGAAAATTTCTGAACAAAGGCTACATAATGTTGGGCAAATCTCCTTTGAGAGTAAACAAAAGGATATATTTTTAATTCTACAAAAGTTGAAATGTGCACATCCATATGTACTAGTTACAATAAGAGAAAAGGAAAAGAATTCGGACCCACAAACAGATAATACAATTAAGAACTAGAAAATGCATAACCCTAATTAGCATAATCATGTGAACATTATCAAATGCCAAAACATCAGAGAATATGATAATATAGCAAATAATTGATAACTAAGTTCGTTCAATCATTTTAAGTCTTCAACTGCTCTGCCAGAAATGATGCATCAAGATGGTCACACTCCTTTAATTATGATGAAATGGAGATATGTGAGTGACATCAAACCTCATCTGTGACTTCTATGTGCCCATCCATGTGTTCACGAGTATCTCTCAGAACTTCCAAGGTTTACTTTCTTGAATTTCAATAATATTAAGCATAATTAAATTCTATGCAGCCAAAATGCCCATGTAACTACAGTACATATCTGGAAATAAATTTCAATTTATTCAAAGTACATGAACTCATTAACAAATAAATCTCATATCCAACTAACCTCCACACCTCCAGTAACGCAGAATGAAAGAAGATCCTTATACTTAAGTGGCAGCTGTTTTTCAGGAGGATAAACAAATAAGACCTGAAAATAAAAAAATGAGAGGTCACATATCATATCCAAAACATGTCCAATGATCTATAAAATTATTATGTTCAATGTTTAGCATAAAAGAATTAGCACCTGGGGTTCAAGGTTAGATTCTACACGAGACTGATGCTGACCACTGAATGCACTTCGAAATTTACCCGAACCTTCAGACTTTCTCCCAAAGTACTGCTTCTGAAGTGCCTGAATATCACAATTAGGATGAAGTCCAACAACCACCATGCTCTCAAAAAGCCTTGATGGCTCTTTTAAAGGCCTATGATCCTGCAAATTTGAATAACACACTTAGTAAAACCAATGTTGCTATAAAACCTACCATAGAAACACAAAGGACAAAAATTTCATTTTTATTACGACCATCTGTATAAAAGGGAATGGGAACACACAAGAATCGAAGGCATTTGACGTTTTGAGCAGGTTTGAACTCAAATTGCACAACTTCTTATAAGCTTTCCATTCAAAGTAAGCACTACATGGTGAAACTACAAGATATATGCAAGATGACAACAAGTACCAGAGCAAAATGAACAGCTGATTGCTAAAGAGATAAGTAACCTGGACCAAAAATGGTTTTACTTGAGATAAATATAAATACCAGCAACTGCAATTGGACGCTTGCCCATTGACGCTTTTGGCTAGTTAGTACTTCTGGGTTATAAGTTCCACTTTTCACTTCAGGAGGCTGTGAAAAGCCTTTTAGTACACCCTGAGGCTTGAGGTTTGAATCTACTTTGATGATTATTCTTCATAGGTATGGTAGGGTAAGGTGCACCTAAGATGAGCGCAGACACAGAAATCCTTCCAAGCTCAACTGATGTTTGAGGGCTGCAACTTACATTGTATATTTCATCTCTCTCTCTCTCTCTCATCCAGTTTCGTTACTTGAGGTTTCTATTTAGAACACCCTCCACAAATTCGATTCTCTCAAGGATTCCTCGAAGATTTTCTACACAATACTTGGCCAATTAAAAATCTGAATGGCATATAACAAAAGCTAGTGTTAAGGTAGATGAAGTGAATTGTGCCAGAGTACAACACCTGCATTGTTTCATTCCCTTCAACACACAAACTACATAGGAGTCTGATCTTGGGAGCTTGGAAAGATAAAATCTAAAGCTCTGTTTTTCCATCCATTGGAATCGAGGAACTGAAATTATCCTGATAATGTAACAATTTAGATACTCATTAATAGCAGGTATTGGGGAGAGAGGGGTTTGTACAGAATTCACAAGTCACAGCAATAGCAAATTGCAAATTATGCCATAGATCATACTTCTATTACATATCCACAAAATTACACATTTTAATTGATTAAATATAAATCTAAATAATGCTAAAATCACCTATTGCGAGTTCACCTGCCCCTACCACTTAATGGCTCTCCTTTCCACATAAGTGAGCTAGATATATAAAATTATTCCAGTCCTAAAAAATAAAATAAACCTGGCGCGGCTGCATTTGCAATCTCAGATAAAAGAAAGAAAAGAATCAGATGTAAATGAGCTAAACTGCTCCCAAAATTATCATTGAAAGCTGAGACCATCTTACCTCTCTTTCTGTAAAAGTCAAAGAAATATATATAAAGAGAAGAACTTGAAATCATGTGTGAGAAGAGGGAAGGTAATTGAAAAGAACGCACATGAGAGAAACAGAGAGTGAGTTCCCAGCTTGTGAGATATCTCCCCTAAAAAGGACACAATACCTCAAAGATGGGCTCTATGGCAAGGTATGAATTTGGGTCTTGGAATGCATCCTTAAATCTCGGTCCTGCTCAATAGTCATAACAAAATTCAGTTTAAAATCAAGGGATCTATAAATGTAGAGCTGCAGCAGGTTGTGCTATCTACATGACGCATACCAAGAACAATAGGACTATCTTTCGACCATGGAAAACTAAATATATTTTCCATTCTATTTCCCTTTTGTAGTGTTGGAACTCTCCCTGCAAAACAATACATAGCACAATTAAGCCACTAGTTATTAAGCGGAAGGCATTTGTTTCAAATGAGGACCACTGTGGACCAAAAAGGAGGAGGAAAAAAAATGTAATCGAGACCTCCCATATTCAGTTATGTGAATGGACGTAGTAACTTTCTTCTAAAGTTTTTATACACTGAATTGTTGAATACATTGAGAATAATGACAATATAAAGTTTTATGAGACAAAATAACTATAAGTGAATAAGTGAATGCATGCGACAAATTGATTAGCATTAAACATGATTACTACTTTACTAACTCATTTTCTTGATATCCAACAGAAACAATAGATAGACAACCAATGACTATGTTTAACAGTTCCCATCGTGACAAAACATCATGTTTAAGTACTAAAAAAAAGTAAAAGCAAAATTTTTTCAAATAAGAATAGCTATTAAGAAGCATCAAACCTCCCATATTCATCAACAAATTTGCAGCCCCTCTGCTATCTGAAGAACACAGCTCTTGAGGATTTTGCACTTCAACATCAAAGTCATACCAGCATAATTGCTGAGTAAATATGTCCCTCTAAAATTCTTAATTTACCACAAAAATGAGCATGGGGAACTACTTATATAGACGTTATCCATGAACTACTCATCAGATTCAAGAGGCCTCATTGAATCAGGTGAAAGGCACACCACAAAATCCATAGTCCAGGTACAGCGAGGGAGAAAATGGGAGACAAGAAACAAATACCTGATGGAATCCATAGTCCAGGACGTTATTAGTGTTTGCGATATATCCATCAATACATGATGGAATTTATCATCGATATCCACAGGCAAAATATTGCAACTCTTAAATCTCAATATATCACTCAATATATATATGTACACATTACAATATTTCATTCCATTATTAGACTGTTCCCATTTTAAAATTAACAGTTTATTAGATCTCTTTTTGTGTATTTTCAAGTGGGTAACACCAAGAATAATAATTTTTAGTACACTTTCAGTTCATACAGACAATTAATCTCCCAATTCCACATACATCTCCAAACACGTCCTTGAAATGAAGGCATTCTGAATTATAACAGACAAGACAAGAAACAAATACCTGTGGAGAAGCATAAAGACCACAAAAACACTAAACCGTCTCATCTCACCGCTGTTGACATGTCTAAAGAACCATTCAAACTAAATAAGGAATTGGGAAACCAACAAGGTCAGCCATGTGAACAATGAAAATAAGAATTCATAATAACAGATCAATATATAATAGAGTTAAGTCTAGTACCCACCATAAGTCAATAGATTCATCAACCACCCTTAGGAGAACCTTCTTTGTATAACTCAATTGTTATTGACCCTTTTGAGGTATTTAAAATCTGTTAAAACAGGAAAATAAGAATGAAAACAAAATCTGTTAAAACAGGAAAATCTGTATTTAAAACCAACAAGGTCAGCCATGTGAACAATGAAAATAAGAATCCATAATAACAGATCAATATATAATAGAGTTAAGTCTAGTACCCACCATAAGTCAATAGATTCATCAACCACCCTTTTAAGGTATTCATCAACCAACAAGGCCCAAGGTTTTAATACGCCCAACGGTTGAGGGGCTTTCCTCTCATGAGAAAGCATGTTTCTTGTGACAGTAATAGAGTTGATTCTCTAAAGAAGAATGAGTAGTGCTGCTTGAGCAGAGTATTTTGGCCAAAATTGCAAACCGACTCCAAATGGAAATTTTCTATTAAAACATAATAATTTTTAGTACACTAAGGAAAGTAATCAAACCTGCATATTTGAAGACAAATGAGGATAGGATTCCTTGTGCTGCATTGTTAAATATTAGAAGCATGGTAGCTTTTGAATGGCCTTCAAAAGATGTCAAAGCTACTAGGACCTGAAATATTCAACATTACAAAATTAGAGCCACAACTCAAAAATGTATATCCCATGAACCAAGAGCACTAATCATCCTCGAGTGTCCTATACAGATTGAATTGTCCTGAAGCTACACACATCCAATAGAAGGGTTATAGCCATTAAAAAGAATGGAGCCTTCAACACAACAAGGCATTAACTATTTCATGAAATTTTAGTGTGACTATTTCACACATTATTGATCTTTTCCTGCCCTTGAAGTTACAATGGTGTTGTGAGTGCCAGAGACACAAGGACCATGATCAGCACACAACATTACGCAAATCTGATAAGGTCGCATAAGATAGTGAGAACATAGACCTCAATATAGTAATTCAAATATCAAAAAACAATTATAAAAAAAAAAAAATCAACAGAACAAAAAAAAGAAAGGGAAATGACATCACCCATACCATAACCCTGTTCAACAATGGAAGACATTGGGATACCAGCATATCATGGCTCTTCGCCTGCAAACAGAGATAAAAAGACAGATTTAGCAGAGTTTATTTCCAGTTTGAAGCAGAAATTCAGGACTGCTGTCCTCCCGGTATCCTAGATGGTGTGAGTTTAACAACAAAAGATTAATATTGCATTAATTCTCTATATTGTTACAGCAGTTATGGCACCTAAATATATAAGAGAAAGAAAACCCTAAACCCATACACAATATATATAGCATATATCATACCTCTGTCATCAGATATGGTGGATATAATATGAGTTGGAGCTCGGACTTTTCCACTCTTAATAGCAGTATTAAGATCCTCAGGGATTTGTGGAGGCTTAAACTTCCTTTGTAGGAGTATTTTACAACCAAGTAAATTTGTCTAGAAAATGTAATAATATGATTAAATATATATTTTTTAAAATTCTTTCATTTTGTCCTTAAAAATATAATTTTTACAGACAAACTATTTTTGTCCCTAAAAATTTGTCTTTAAAACCTTAATTTCTTGTAGTGAAGATTTCTTAAAGCTACCCATCTTTAAAAAATAAAAATAAAGAAGAAGGAAAAGGACATTTTAAAGATGAGAGATCATTAGAAACAAGTGTGAGCACTTTCTGGGTTATGAAATTACATGCATTATTCCTTCACTGAAACAATATATACAGTTTTATCAGTTGCGACATGAAATGCCCATGGACTGAAATTCCTGCACAACCACGCATTGTAATGCCATCCAAGAGAACCACCCAAGAAAAACAAAAAATAGAACTTGCATTTCAAATATGTGATGGGAAAACTAAAACTGTGTTGATCTTGCATAAAAGCCCACAGCAAAAAATGCCAACAGCTATATTCTCATAACATTTCAAGTATTTGTACAACCAACATGTATTGCAAGTACTAGAGGAACTAATTCCAAAATTTGATACGGTGCTACAGAGCACATAACTAAGCATGTGGTATTTACAACTAAACATAAAATAATATTTTATGGTATTTATATACAACATTTAATTAAGCATGTGGTTCATCAGTTGTGAGCATCAACGGTGAAGCTCAAGAGTTAAGAGAAATTCTAAATCAGATAACAAAAATCTTTACCTTTAGAATCAAACCCAGAACTAAGTTTCTCAATCAAATTGGCACACTTCAGTAACTAATATATACTCTTGAGATGGCCGCGCAAGGTGCACGATCTCATGCCCATTGCTGGTGCCCATTTTTTTTTAACATAAAAAAACCCATAATTTAAATAAATAAGGAACACAACTCTATTAAAATTGTTTTTTCATAACTGTTTGTTCTTATTATTACTAATATCTTAGTCGAATTCCTGACACAAGTTGGAAAAATATTAACAGTTTGATGCATATATAGAGGAAAGCGTTGAATTGTAGAAAATCACACACTTAATTCTAATATGAGAGTTCAACATAACCACACAAAAAACAAAAAAAATATATATAGATTCCTTTTTGGAAAGAAACCAAAAATCAAATAACATAAGCTGTTAGATTAACAAACAAATAAATACGAATCAGTAGGGTGAATGGGCATAGGGTCTAAATTTGTGTTCCCAGAAAATACTAATACCCTAGCAAATTATATATTAGTATACACGTTTTGAAACATGACACACTTCCATTCGACAATGGAAAATTTAGTGATCTCAAAAGTTTTATTTAGACCATTCTCTAAATGAAGAATGATCTGAATAAAAATGTAACAAATCTGATGCATAAGTTAAGAATATGCAACTCCGTAATTAGATGTCAAAAACTACTCTAGGTTCAAAATCACACAATCCATCCTATTGTGTTAATCACTAAAATTACACAAAATTAACAACCAGCAAGGTTCAAAAGTCGTACCAATTTCGACACCGAGGCCTTGCATCCCAGAGACAAGGACGTTAGAGGTGAAGAGCCACCTCATAGTCTCGCGTCCGTACGCAGCTAACTGTCTGCTGTGCAGATCTTCATCGATATCCATCGGATTCCCATTACCAAAAGCCATATCCGACAATACTCTAATACTAGCGCTACTTAGGTTACTATTGCTACTATCGATAATGCTGCTATCACTCTTGTTACAGTCCTTGGGCATCGTATTAGCTTCGGTGGCTGTTGATTTTTCGGTGGAGGATTCCGATGAAGAGATGAAACAACCGACACTATGCTTCTTGAGCAAGTTTTCTCCGTCACTAGAGTCGCCTTCTTGAACAGGTCTCTTTCTAGGAAGCATAAAGTGCAACAAACTACTAAAAGCCCCACAAAACCCCATCTATACGATAAAAAACAGAAATGAATTGAACAAATTAAGATCAAAACAGTGGTTATACACCAATCCAAAAGCGATCGGTGCTGTGACTACAAACCCTAACCCTAACCTCCTAAATAGTGTCATATTGAAATCGACTCGAGAGGAGAGTTGGGAAGAGAGGAAGATTGATCCAGAGAGAGAAAGGATGATTAAAAGAGAGGGATTAAAGAACTTACCGATTGGAGCTCTGGCGCGGAAAGGAATGGAATCTGAGAGAGAGAGATTGAGAGATTGACACAATAGTGTTTAGCTTTTGGTTTTGGCATTGATCGAACGGTGTTTTTACGTTTTTGACAGAATTTTTTTCAAGCGTGTTTTGTGGTCATTTGTAGAGAGAGAGTTCCATGTCAGGGATCAAGTTCCACCTGTTCATAGCTTCATCAAAAAATTCTCCATAGGTGAGTTCGCCATCTTCGTTTCGCCCACCAATCACATAGAACTTGTTGTCCATGTAACACCCTGAGAGAAAGACAGAGGGCGATGGCGATTTGCGGCGGTGGCGATGTGCGACGGATGTGAGCAACGGTGGTGAGGGACTTCGGTGAGCCAGAGAGAGTGGGCACCGATTGAGAGAAAGAACATAGAGAGGGAGAGGGCGGACCGAGACACAAAGAGCGAGATAGAGTCAAGGAGATTAGGGCTTTTTTTTATTTAATTTTTTTTTCAGCTTTCATGGTATTAAACGACGTCGTTTTAAAATTGGCGACCAAATTTATTTGTCGCAAAAAAATTTCAATTCCTGCCCCACTAAAAATCAAATTTCCCTCCCAAACTTTTGGCGACCAACAGACCACATTAATTGCAGAAAAGGTACCTTCGCCGACAAACTATTTTAGTCGCCAAATCTCAATCAACGGCGACTAAAATATTAGTCGCTAAAAGTACAAATTTGGCGACTAATATTTTTTGGTTGTTGAAAATATGTTTTTGGCGACCAAATTTTTGGTCGCCAAAAAATATGTGACTTTCCGCGACCAAATTTGTAGTTGGTCGGCAAAAGTATACCACTTTCTGCGACCAACTCATTTTTTAGTCGCCAAAATATAACCTTCTGCGACCAATAATATTTGGTCGCCAAAAATAATGATCATTCGCGACTAATTAATATTTGGTCGCCAAATGTAATTTTTTTGTGACCAAAATTTTTTTGATCGGTAAAAGTGGTCGTAAAATATGAGAATTCTTGTAGTGTGGCATCGCTAGAGATGAAGATGGGTTAGATATAGGGAGGATCTGTTAATTCAATTTTTTTTTGTAATATATATCTAATCTAATACTCCTATATTGAGTATGATTGTTGACAAAGTCTAGATTCTTCGTTGGACAATTTTGAATGAATTGTAGGGAGGTAGATTTTTCTATATATCTAATCATGCTCCTATATTGAGTATGATTGTGATTGGTCCTTTGCTTTTTTCTTTTTTTCCTTTTCTTTTTTTTTTCTTTTTTTGTTTTTCTTTTTTGCACGTCCTTTTAATTTATTTTCTTTGATTTGATTATTCTTTTAATTTTTGGTGAGAGCAGCTTTAAGGGTGTGGTTTGAGATTATTATTTTTTTTTTGCCAAATCACAGATTGTACATGCTATTGCTCTTGTATACAGGTAGTCAAATTCTCAAGCATACATGTTGTTAAATTCTTTGGTCCTGTATTGTGTTATATTTTAGTTAAATTCTTTGGCCATATTATGCTATATTTTAGAATCAAAAAAATAAAAATAAATAAATAAAATGGTGTTTGTTGGAAAAACGCCTTTAAATGACATCATCATGACGTCATATGCTATTTTGTAACAGAAATGGTAGTAGGCGTCAAAATGCCACCTAATATTTTTAGCGACATTTTTTAAACGTTGTAAAGTTATTGTAACGGTTACATCAATGACAAAAATATTAAACGGTACTGTAATTTACAACGTTTTCCTGTAGTGAATGTTCTTTTGAGGACATTGGTGATTTGCTTTCTTTGTCACATGTTAGGAAGAAAACTAAACAACAGCATATTTCAACTGATTACATTTTTTTATTTGAAAAATTTTAGATAGGCTACAGCTTAAAGTTTTATTTTATATTTATTATAAAGATGTCCATGTCAGACTAAAATTTAGGTGTGGGGAAATGACCAAATCTCACATGATATACATTCACCTAGATTTTCAATTCACAATTAGGCCGTGCGATTCATGCATGACTGTGAATGATAGTCAATATAGTAAAGTAATAGATGGGTGATTTTATAATAAAAACCTAAACCTGTCATTTCAGACATTTTAAAAACTAAACTTTAAGAAAGATTTATGTCAATTTAACAATTTTATTAACCTCAAAGGAGGTTTAAATCATTTCAAAAATTAAAAAAAAAAAAAAAGTTTTTGCAATTCATTAAACTTCAAAAAAATTAATGTAACTTATCTTTAAAATTTTCATATTATTCTTGTATTAAGCACCATGCAAATCCCATATAGAAAAGGCAATGTTTCCGTCTTTAAATTATTATTATTATAATAATTGCGAGTAACTAGCTTTGAGACAATCACAAACATGACAGCTTAGTGGTTTTAAAACAATACTTCACATTATTTATAAAAAAATGGTATACAAACTTAAGGTGTGGTGAGGGGGTGGTCAGAGGTTCGACCTGATAGAGTAACGACGAACCCTTTTAGTTATAATCTAACTATATTAACATATTAACACTATATCTTTGTCAAAAAAAAGAAAAAGTGAGATAATTGATGAATAATTAAAAAAGACATAAACAAAAAATTACCTTACATATTCTAATAGACTGCCATATTAATAAATTTTAAAAATCAATAGAATTTTTTAACAGTGTGCCACTTCTTTCCTAATAAAAAAAAAAATCTTTTCTCGATCTAATAAAAAATAATAAATCTCATTATTTTAACTAATAAAAACCTAGTTAAGACATCCCATCAAAAGAATAATACGCACAAACAAAGAGTTTTGTCACGTTCTAAGCTCACTCACTCACATCGTCACTACGAATGACCCCATCAAAACAATTAATTAATTAATTAATTAAACTCACCACTGTCCCTATAAATACTAACCTCAGCTGACTTGCTTGCTCACTCAAATCTTTCAAAGCAAATCAAAGGTTAGAGTATGTAACTAATCTCTCTCTCTCTCTCTCTCTCTTATCAGTCAGTCAGCTTTTATATTTTGGCTTTAGTATACTGTCGGCCTTTTTTTTATCAATTGATTTATTGTTTGTTTTTTTAACGTGAGAACTCAAAACACATGTGTACCTTTTTTATTTCCCTTTTTGGATTAATTTTTGTTGTTATTCTCTGCAAATGCATTCATACTTTTAATTAATTAAAACGTCTTTTTAATTTGATTAGGTCTTGGAGGATGAGTTCAAGAATGTTCTTTTGCTTTGAGAAGGTACTCTCGATGTCAGATGCTACCAAAACCATCTTGGAGGTACCTCGTTCCGCAACTAATTTACCAGAAGAAAGCAAAGAAGTGATGGTTGTAAAGGATCAAACTGGAAGGAAATGGAAGTTTGAGGTGGCGATAAAGGATGATGAGAAGCAAAAAAGGTTGCAAGGCGAATGGAGCCAGTTTACTAAGGCTCATGGTCTCATGAAAGGTGTTATTGTCAAGTTTTATTTCAATCCCAATGAAAATTTATATTACGTGGAATTGAAAGGCCAACTGCTCAGGTCGGGTTTGAATTTCTTTTTCTTTTTGTCTTTATAGAAACTATTATTAATTTTTAAAAAATTTTGAACTTCAACTAAAAGTATTTTATTAAAATTTTAAAAATTTTATAAAGAAAAAAAATTTGAGCTGAAAGTATAAAGATAAGCTTGAAACATGAGTAAAATTGTTAGAGGGGTTAATTGACTTGAGGGGGTAGGGCCGGATATACAAGCCGACAATATAAATGATTGAAGTAGAAACAAGAAGCGCAGCGGAAGCAGAAGGGGCCCGAGGCCGCCGCCCGGCTTCTGCTTCCGACGGTGACGCCGCTGACGAAGTGCAAGCTGAGGCTGTTGAAGCTGGAGCGAATCAAGGACTATCTTTTGATGGAAGAAGAGTTCGTGACCAATCAGGAGAGATTGAAGCCCCAAGAGGAGAAGACTGAGGAGGATCGATCTAAGGTCGACGATCTGCGGGGCTCGCCGATGAGCGTTGGCAATCTCGAGGAGCTGATCGATGAGAATCACGCCATCGTGTCGTCGTCGGTGGGGCCGGAGTACTATGTCGGGATTTTGTCGTTCGTTGACAAGGATCAGCTCGAGCCTGGTTGCGCGATTTTGATGCATAATAAGGTTCTTTCTGTTGTTGGGCTTCTTCAAGATGAAGTTGATTCCATGGTGTCTGTCATGAAGGTTGAAAAGGCTCCTTTGGAATCGTATGCTGATATAGGTGGGTTGGATGCTCAGATACAGGAAATCAAAGAAGCAGTTGAACTCCCTCTGACACACCCTGAACTATCTGAGAAAGTGAAGTTAGTATCGATGGGTTTGTCCGGCGGACGGCTAAGGTGAGGTTGCCGCCCGCCGGTGAAGCGAAAATATTAGGTTCTAAACCTGCTCTGATACCATGTAAAAAATAAATTGATGTATATAGAAATAGAGAGAATGAATTATGTATTATTTATTGATGTATTGATATTGTTTCTTCTGTCTATTACAAATGGTTCCTTATATAGATGTAGGTGTAGTGGATGGTGTGTAGTGGATGGTGATAGTGGTGTAGTGGGTTAGGTTTAGTGGAGTAGGTGAGGTGGTAGTGGTGGTAGGTGATGGTAAATTCTAACAGCCCCCCGCAAACTCAAGGGGGATAGGAACTAACCAACTTGA